CAACTTTCGGCTATTCATTAAGAAATTCTAAATTTTGATTGGCTAAAATCCTGTAATCCAAAGACGCGGAATCGTCGGTGAAAATTCGCCCAAGCTTGGTCACTTTCATCGACGATTTCAAAGAATAAACTTCAGTTATTAAAAATATATTATTTCTTTATTCTTTGGATTTTTACAGCCACCGTAGAGGGCAATCCAAGCCAGGAAGTAGCCCCACGTGTAGAGCAGTCCAAATAAGGAATAAAGTTAAACTCTCCCCGAGCGAGTGATTCCCCTAAGAGATAAAATACAACACAAGTTCACGTGTAACCCAAAAAAAACAACGTGACAGTTATTTAAAATGAAAATAAAAGATATATGCCTTTTTTTAATAAATCCTTTGTCAAAGCAATAACCAATATGCTGTACAGCTAGTATTTTTACTATTAAAGTAAACACGCTGTAATTGCAAAATTTACGGAAGTTACACAAAACCTTATAATTTGAAGCATGGAAAAAACATAATGGTCAACATTAGTGACACAAATATGCACCAAGTATTTAGATTTATAAGGGTATTCTCCTAACACGTATATTCACACTACTATTTGTTTTACCATGAATAAAATTCAGGAACGTAAAAGAAAAAGCGTTGAATTTCAGTATCTCAATCATCAATATTTGGTAGTCCAAATAATATTTTTTAAATGATGTATATAAAAAACTCGATTCTTTGAATATATTCCTATTCATGATTTATATTGGTACCATTAAAGTTTGATAGTTACAGACAAAAATACACAAAATTTAATTTCTGTCATCGAGGTTAGTTATTTAATTTAATTTCTCAATCGTCACTATTTTTCAGAGCAATGTTTTTGAGAGAAAAATTTCTTGAGTTATTATATTGTTATGGTTTTACCATCACCTTTTTGACCCTGCCATCCTATTTTACAAGCGCAACTACCATTGTCTTGAAGACAACTGGATAAACACCCATCAGCACAGTTTTGGAGACATCCAACTCCAAATTTCCCGGTAATACATCCATTATTGCTTAATCCACTGACTTTACTGCATCCCATTTTACAATTAAAGTTGCAAGATTTATTGCAGTAAGTTCCATATTTTCCAACCGGACATTCTTCTTCATAGCCCACTGAGTTTCTATTGAAAGTTGACGGACATGATAAACTGCAACTCTTTTCACATTTATCTGAATAGAACCCATTAAGACATCCATATGTGCAGGATCCAGTAACAGTGTCACACGTTTGTCTTTTACAATTACCACTACATAGCTTGGAGCAATCTGGTCGATAATGTCCGAATTCACATCCTGCAAAAAAAAATCATGTACTAGTTCTTTCGTCGTCAAAGAATTAAAAAAATATTAACTTGAAAAATAAAAACCGTAAAGTATTTTTCTAGTCCACAAGCCAGGCCATAAATTTTTCGGTATCGGTACCATCTTGGGTGAATAATTTTCATAGTTAATTTTTGAAGGACATACATCTCTACCTTCAGAAAATGTATGATAGCGTTCAGTTGCATGTGGCTTTAATGGTGTATCAACCGTTTATATACACCTTCCCAACTTGTACGTTCTCTCAGCTGTGTCTTTGAAAGAAGAAGGTTGGTTTTTCAATACGCAATTTCTATTTTATTTTGAATGGTATATCCTTGAAAATTCATTTGAACGCAGACCATGCTATTATTCTTTTCAATTATCATTCAATATTGGCTCTGTAATGAGCCGTCTAAATTATATAGGAATATAATTCTACCCTTGATCATAAATGTTGAAAATGCGATTTTGAAATTTTAATCAGCGGAAAAAAATTACTACTGTGACAATTTTCACATCAAACATATTGGACGGTCACTTTCTTTAAAGAATTTTTATCATGTATTAGCATTTTAAAACAGTATTTCAGTAACAAATATATCTAACTTGATATCATGGTAAATCTTTATCCCTATCCTAAAAATGAAAATTGAAGAAAATTTCCCTTGATTTACCCTTTGGGTATATTCTTTACTTAACAGAGATATTGTGAATATGTCAGGCCTCAAGTAGAGCCTTTACGTAAAATGTTTTACTTATTTAATCTCAAGTTAACCCTTTTTTGATCATGGAAACTCTCTTGTATGTTCATCTAAGTTAAAAGTGTAATTTGTTATACATTTTTGACATCAAAATTTCTAGTAAGCAATATATATATATACAGTCATTTGTTCCAATTTATAATTATGTGTTTGTGGACAGTTTCTCACGACCTGCAATGGCACGAAGCCCCTTCCCTCCACTAGTCCGGGTAGAGAGAACTCGTACCATCTTAAGGGAGATCCCTGTAGGTGAGCACTCTACACAAAGCACTGACGGGTCTCAAATACTGTTGATTGGGAGCTTGCCTACCTATAACGCATGTAAAGACTGTGCACCGGCGGACTCCATAGAGGAAACCGTCATGGTTCAACTGAGAAGATTGCCGACATAGTACGCACTGTGGAATGCTTGGAGCGAGGCAAGGTACATATAACACATCTTGGTCATCCGCTGTATCTGTCTCCATCTCCAGACGTCCAAACATGTATTGCCACGAGATCTAGATGGTTGCGGGCGAGAGAGTGAGGTCGGCGACGCACAACCCTTCTTTATTTTAATAAAACTCATCATGCAAGTCATTGATCATCTTCCATCCCTTCTATCATCCACCCCAAAGCCCTGTGGCGACAGGCAAGGAACGAATGTGACAGATGCGGGTTCACTGGAAGTCGCTAGTCGCGGACCTGCACACCTCTTCACCGACCGGAGCAGCGTTGGATTTCGGCAGCCACCTGTGCGACTGAGCAGCCCTCTTTAGGAACGCACTGCTCACCTCCATAGCAAAAGGTATCCAAAACATTGCCTTATCCAACCTTCCCTAGTCAGTTTACTGCAGCTGGTGGGGAAATAACAAAGAGAACTAGAAGAAAACAAAGATCATCGCACTGTACCTTGGATCGTGGAACGTTCGAATGCTTTTCGAGAGACATTACAGACATACCCCCAGAGACGCATAACACTGATCGCATGCGAACTCACGAGATAACATCGACATCGCGGCTCTCAGTGAAACCAGGATGGATGGAGAAGGTGAACTGTGTGCGCTGGCTATACCTTCTTTTGGAGAGGACGCGGAGCCAGGGAGAGACGAGAAGCTGGCGTAGGCTTTGACTTTTGCTGGCAAGCTAGTCGGCGTACCCAAAGGAGTAAACGACCGCCTGATGACGATGAGACTCCCTCACTCGAGGAAAGTTTGCCACTATTGTCAGCGCATATGTTCCTACCCTGAGGCTAAAACAAGTTCTATGAGAACCTCCAGAATGTCATCAACGCCATCCCCAACGCCGAAAAGCTTTTCATTTTTGGTGACTTTAATGCGAGACTTGGATGTGACACCACCGCCGGGGAGGGCGTGATTGAGAAGCAAGGAGTGGACAAGTGCAACAGTAACGGCTTGTTGCTTCTCCAGACCTGAGCTGAACATGGCCTTCTCATCACTAACACCGTTTTCTGCCTTCCCATCCGTAACAATACGTCATGGATGCACCCTCGCTCAAAGCACTGACATGTAATTGACTACGTCATTGTTAAGAAGACAGACAGACAGAAAGTTCATTTGTTCACCAAGGTTGTCTCATCATCTCTAAACTTCAACTCTCAACTTCCAGATCAAACTCAGGATACGTCCTAAGGGGAATAAGGCTTCAAAACGTCTCAACGTTGGGGAGCTCAAGTCTCCTTCCACCTCTCAGTTTTTTTTCTGACACCCCCGAGAGAACGCCTGAAATCCACCGTGCTGGATGACCACGACATTGAAGTAGCTTGGAGCACACTTCGTAATACAGTGCACAATACAGCCTTCGAGTGTCTCGGGCCCTCCACAAAAAACACAAAGACTGGTTTGATAAGAACCGCGCCGAGATCATGCAGCTTCTAGAGGAAAAATATCGCGCGTACATGTACAAAGCTCATATAGATGATCCCACCTCAACAGCCAAAAAGACGCTCCGAGGAACGCTCGCAGCACAGTACAGCTAAAACTTCGGGATATGCAAGACTCCTGGCCGAATGCCATAGCTGACTAGATCCAATGCTACGCCGAATCTCATGACAGGAAGAACTTTTACTGTGGACTGGAGGATGTCTACGTGCCAACTCCTTCAGGCTCGCCCCCTCTCCTCGGTGATGACGTACTAACACTCATCACATAGTAGGTAAAGATACTCGACAGGTGGGCGGAATATTTCAATGGCGTTCTGAACCGCCCTTCTACCATCAACGAAGAAGCCATCAAACAACTGCCCAGGTTCCCATCAACCAGTCACTGGACGCCGTTCCCACGTCGGATGAGATCAAGAAAGCAATTAGTATGCTGTCAACTGGCAAAACACCTGGCGGATACTCCATCCCAGCTGAGATTTACAAAGAAGGGGGCGTGGCTTTTGTCGAAAAACTCCTTCATCTGCTTGTGCGAGGATCGGCCTGACCAGTCATCTCCGCACCCACTGTCCAGGTAAACCCCCTCCCCACGAAGATGAGACAGTGGTCATCGTCGTCACCGACGGACGAATAACTAAACTAGTTAATGTGCGTTGGTTCTTATCTTTTTCGTTTTACAAATTTATGAGGTACATGTAATTGTTGAATAAAAGTGGCAAAGAATGCAATTTTGTTAGAATCACGGCTAGCAACTTAGTAAATGCTCTTTTAATATGTTCATCATATATCTGAGTAATCCTGGTAGAACTTTTTATGATGGTTGGCAACTGTGTGACGAATACTTTGCAGGTTGCAAATATTTTTAGTTCAGAACACTTAATTTGAGCAAATAAAGGCCAATAACTGTGTCTGCAGCGTTGAAGCCACAACGGATTTGATGGTATCATACATTTTCTCACTAGTTAAGGGTATTCCTTACCAAATATCACTATAACGTTTTCTCAGCAAAATGGTACCGACCACCCCTAGTGGCTCATGGACTATTCCTTCGCATCTCTGGAAACAATTCAATTCATGTTTCAACTCTAACAGATAATTTTTTCAGACACAGCTCTCTTTTCTAAACATGAAATTTAACAAATCTGAGATATGATTTACAATTCATAAAAACGACAAAGGAAGTATATTAGATGTCTTATTTTGATTTAATCTGATAAACTTGTAAATTAACGAATGTTTTTCTAGTTCAGATCACAGAACCTTGTTATTTGGAAAAGTCAGAAATGCACAGGGTATCTTTCAATATATAAAAGGTGCATATTTTCCTCATTTTTTTTATCTAGATGTAAGCTAATCACTACATGGAAAAAATATAATTCCTTGTATACAAACGCTTCAGCTTTATGTCGAAGATAATAGTTAATGACGTATAAAAATACAACTAAGCCCAAAATTACCATACTTACTGTCGCATTTTCCTCCTGACCAATTTGGTTTACACCCGCCAATACAAACTCCACTTTGAAGGCATTCAATTTTTGCACAATTTCTACTACATGGTGCTTCACAGGATGAACCATAAAACCCCCTGTAGCAGCCATTAATACAATGTCCATTTATTTTTCTACATTCCTGATTAAGGCAAGTAATACTACATTTCATGTCGCACTTTTCTCCATAAAATCCTTTATTGCAGGTCCCACAATGTCCATTTGATTTGTCACATGTATCACTGCTGCAGTTACCACAAGAGTTGTCACAGAAAATCCCATAATAACCCGGTACACATCCCATTCTACAGTACCCACTGTCGTGCGCACATGCTCGTTTATAGCATGTAATATACAAATAACATTCTTTTTCGCATCTCTGTCCATAATACCCGTCTTTACAGGAGGAACACAGACCGTTAGTTCTATTGCAGACTCTTGTGGAACAAGAAGATGGACATCCATTCAGACATTTATCTCCCCAATAACCTTCAATGCACCCACGGGTGCAAATTCCATTCCCATCGAATTCCATATCTATACAGTTAGGACTGCATGGGACGACGGCTAAAATACATATAATTTACAATATGTAGTTTTTTTTTCACATTCTAGGTGAGCTTTTACGAGAAGTTATGACTTCTGGAGTTGACGGTTTACTTGGACATTAAAACTTGTATCACGTGCTGAGGAGCATATTTGATAAAACATTATAATAAACCTTTCTAATTCGGATAACTTATATATGCATTGAAAGAAACCGTCATTTTCGTTGAATTAAATGTTAGATATTTTTATCGTACAAGAGCTATCGTATAGTTTTCTAGTGTGAAAGTCAGTCTCAACTGTATTAGTCAGTGCTCCTCGCAAAAGTCCATTAGTAGCGTTGAAAGACTGGCACTTTGCAATACAAGAGGTCCATGGGCCACATCGCTCACCTGAGAAGCTTTGACCATTCTGTTCTTTTCAAGATTTCCTTCTTGTAATATATATTGTGATCCCAAACTACCCCAATGATCATAATTTAGACAGTTGGAAATCTACACTAAATCAGGATGCTTCCACATAAGTCTAAGCTTTTCTGGCCCAGTGGTTCTTGAAAGAAGATTTTAAAAGATTTTTTATATATATTTCTATGTAAAACTTTGATTCCCCATTGCGGCCCCGACCTAACCCCGGGGGTCATGATTTGAACAATTTAAAATCTACACTACCCCAGGATACTTCCACATAAGTTTCAGCTTTTCTGGCCCAGTGGTTCTTGAGAAGAAGATTTTTAAAGATTTTTCCTATATATATTTCTATGTAAAACTTTGATTAACTACTGTGGCCCCGCCCTAGCCACCGGGGTCATGATTTGAACAATTTAGAATCTGCACGGTCCCATGATGCTTCCACATAAGTTTCAGCCTTTCTTGATCAGTGGTTCTTGAGAAGAAGATTTTTAAAGATTTTTCCTATATATTTCTATGTTAAAATTTGATTTCCCACTGTGGCCCCGCCCTACCCCCGGCGGTCACGAAGTTTACAATTTAGAATCTACACTACCCTAGGATGCTTCAACATAAGTTTCAGCTTTTCTGGCTCAGTGGTTCTTGAGAAGAAGATTTTTTAATGTCCACTCCCTATTTTTGTCTTTTCTTGATTATCTCCCCTTGTGAGGGGACATGGCTCCTTATTTTAATAATTTAAATCCCCCTTCACGCAAGGATGCTTTGTACCAAGTTTGGTCAATTTGGCCCAGTGGTTCTTGCGAAGATGTCGAAAATGTGAAAAGTTAACAGACGGACGGACGGACGGACGACTGACAAAATGTGATCAGAAAAGCTCACTTGAGCCTTCGGCTCAGGTGAGCTAAAAAAAACTTCCCAATGTCCCCAATGCACTAATTGGGAAGGATAATCAGCAATAATGTTGCCTAAACCATGTTTTTGTGTTATTGTGAAATGTAATTCCTTTGAAATACTTTCTTCCTTTCTTTAAACCCCCCACCCCTGAAAAAAAAAGCTTCAAAATGAATTTCATAGTAATTTGGAAGGAGTTAAAAATGAAAAACATAAGGATAAACATATTTAATATGTTTCGACTGCGTCTTTAAAAGAATGAAAAAGATGAATAATTTACTTGTGGTTTTCAAGTACTACACATGTAAATCATAAAAAAAAAGAAAAGAATATTTTTCCTCAGAATATTACAAATTTAATAATTGAAATCAAAACTTCTTTGAAAGTATTTTTATACCGGTATGTAGTATTATTTTTTTGTCAATATATTCGGTCGTAAATTGAAAAAAAGCAGTTAAATTTAAACAGAAATATATAACAAAACAAAACAACACTGATGAGCGCAAAAAAGTATTCTACAATTATACAACCAAAAAGCACAGTTCTCATTTTTTATGTATTTTTTCTTAAAACGTACAAGAGCAAATGATATACAAATTATTTGATCGATATTCTCACTCTGACAGAAAATCTTCAACAAATTCATTTGTTATAAATAGTCATTGGAGAAAAGCCTTTTCCCTGTCAGATAATAAAAATTTTCACTTAATTATGCATGCAATTTTTCTCTCTTTTATTTCTTGTTACCTTAAGACATGAAAATTATTAACGTAAAGTTCCTGGAAAAAAAACAAATACTTATCAGAGAAAAGTTATAAAATTGTCTGTATATTTACCATCACAGTGAAAATTTCCGAGTAATAAAAAAATCCACATCCCTGAAAGGGCAGTCATTTTGAAAGCAAAAGTAAAATAGAAATTAAAATTGATTAGCAATTATGGACATATGTCATAAATTTGCATTGTTTTAAAGCCTTTCAAATTCTGTCTTATATATAGCACTGATTTTTTTTTCTATTTTACAACATATATCAAGATAAATTGACAGAAAAACAAAACACTTAAATGTTTTATATTTAATTTGTTGAGAATAAGTCCTGCTGTAAGATTGATCACACTTTCTGAACTTGTTTTTGCTGTAATTTACATGTATTTATGCCTCGTTATGCTAATAGGCACGCTCCCAGCTAGAGAGCAATTGCTGTTATTAATCGAGGATATTTTTGGATAGATTATTGTACAGCTAGTTGGAACATTTTAGAATAGAAAAAACAGCAATAAACATTCTTCTAAATCTAAGATAAAGAAAACAACGTCTGTTACAACGCACTTTGAAAAATTACACACTTTGAAAAAAAAATTCAAACTGCGTTAAAATTTGAGACCAAGCCAAAGCACTTTCAAAAAAAAATATTTTTTTTTCAAAGTGCCTTAATATGGACACTTTGAACATTTTTTTTTTCAAAGTGCGTTGAGTTGCTTCCAAATTTAACGCACTTTGAAAAAATTTTCAAAGTGCGTTGATTTTGTCCCAATTTTAACGCACTTTGAAAAATTTTGTTCAAAGTGCGTAATTTTTTCAAAGTACGATGCCACAAACGTCAGCTATTCAAATAGAACGGCATTCAATCATAAAATTATGGTCTAATATTCTTGAAAGAATCACAGGCACACATCAATTATACAAACGTCTGCAAACTCTTATATATTTATTCATTGATTTAAAATTGGTCTAAAGATTTGTGTTCAATTCATAGGGGCATTACATAAAGTGGAAAGTCACTTATATTAGTACAAGAGGCCCACGGGGCCTTATAGGTCACCTGAGTATTGTGTAACAACTTTCAAACAATTAAATTTGGTTCGTGTTTTAAACCAGAAGCCATGAAATTCACAATTTACAATTTTGAAAGAGGCACCAATGCTTATCATAATTAATTACTTAGCATGCTTACTCTATTTACTTAATATCCAGAGGTAGATCAGAGTAACAAAGAGAAAATACACTTCCACTTTATACCCAGTTGTGCACCTCACCCTAAAGGAACCACTGACCCATGGGTCACATATTTCAAAATTTTGCAAATATTATCATAAAATGGTTAATTAATACCAAAAGAGCAGTTTCAAAGCATTAATTTATTTTCAGACTATGTAACCCACCCCCCTTCCCCTCTGACTCCAGGGGGATAAAAAACCACTTTGCTACATGCACCTTTCTTCATCATAAATATATATATACCTAGATCATTGGAATAAAACCCAAAAGCAAAAGGAAAATATTTTCAAAGAATTAATGTATTTTAACTATATAATCAATAGAGCCCTGTCCTAACGCCAGAACCCCTAACCCTGGGGCCATAAAATTCACAATCTTGAAGAGACATTCTTGCTCATCATAACTATGTGCTTAGTTAGTTTATATGATACCCAGGAGCAGAGAAGAAGATTTTCAAAGAAATAATGCATTTTCACTATGTACATGTAATCTATAGAGCCCTGCCCTAACACCAGAACCCCTGACCCCGGGGCCATAAAATTTACAAATCTTGAAGAGGCACTCTTGCTCATCATTACATTGTGCTTAGTTAGTTTATATAATACCAAGAAGCAGAGAAGAAGATTTTCAAAGAAATAATGCATTTTCACTATTTATCTATAGAGCCCCGCCCTAGCACTAGAACCCCTGACCCTGGGGCCATGAATTTCACAATTTTGGTAGAAGACTCAATGCTTATTACATTCATGCCAACGGTTTGCCTGCTTGATGTCCAGGAGTAAAGAAGAAGATTTTTAAAGACTGCAATAATTTTAGTAGTTTTGGCCCCACCCCTCAGGCTCCAGGGGGGCGGGGACCATGAAATACACAATTTTTGTTTCCCTCTACCCATAAATGCTCTATACCAAATTTGATTGAAATTGGTTCAGTGGTTTCAGAGAAGAAGCTGAAAATGTTCAAATGTTACTACACGACACACGACGCACGACGACGGACGAAAACGGATAGCAATAGGTCACCTGACCTACTCAGGTGACCTAAAAATGCAATGTATCCGAACTCATGGTTTTATAAATCTAGCTTAACGTCGGACTGGAAAACACTACCCTTTGAACATGTGTACAAAATATATATTGTAGATTCCTTATTTTTAGTTTTCATTTTTAGTTTTTATTTCCTTATTTTTATTTTCACTCATATAGATACGGCAACATAAACTGGTAAAGATCTTCGAATTTTTACCATTATTCGGTATTCGGAGCTATTGATCAGTTAAATATCTTACGCCAACCGTTACACTTGCACGGGGCCTCGACGTTTTAAGTCTCGCCTCAAGGACCCGCAACTTTCACTTTAAAGTGCCTAAGGCGTGTTCTAGTAACAATAGATACCTTTTTTTTCTCGACTTAGGCAGAAATTTGAACTCACGGCCCGCTAATACATAACTTACACGATTGTAAATAAACTATTATTCCCACGTGTTTTCTCCTGCAATATTTCTCTCTCTGTCAAAATAATAAAAATGATAATAATAAGCTCTGCTTTTTTGTGGTAGCTACAGCTTGATATATTCCACAAGTCCTTTCCCCTTAACATAAAACCACGAGTTTTTTTTCTAAATCTTTACTTGAAAAGTCGGCCATTATTATTTACCATGTGCTTTATTTAGTAATGATATAAATAGGATGACCCCCAATGTGAGTACATTTGATTGGTTGAAAGTGAAAGGTGAGTTAAGACTTGAATTAGGAAATAGAACATTGCTCTATTCTTAATACAGTCTTATAAGATTCGAAAAATCTTATGATACACTGTATTAAGAGTGTATACACAGTAAGATTTTGTATTATAATACAAATTTTATAATACAAATCTTACCGTGTATACAGGCCCTTTATATACATCTTTTAGTCTAGAACTGTTTAACAATGGCTAAATTAGACACCTTGCATTGTGTAAAATTTTGACAATAGCGAATGTAAATATATACATGTATTTGACCCAATTTTACTATTTTCTAATACAAGTCTTAGCTTACGTATCACTTTCAACCGATGAAATGTAATGACACTAGGGGTCATCCAATTTTTTTTACTATTTAAAAAAGCACAATGTAAGTAATATTGATAGACTTTACAAGTAAAGACATCGAAAAACTCATGGCTTAATGGGAAGGGGAAAAGGACTTGTGGAATATATAAATCAGTGCATAGTATAATGATAGACACTGCTATCAGAGCCTCATCCTTCATTTTTATTACTTTGATAGAGAGAGAAATATGGCGGGTAAAACACGTGGGAATACGTAGTTTATTTAGAATCTTATAAGATATGTATTAGCGTGAGTACAGGAAAATATTATGATACTTGCATTATACTACAAATCTCATCGTGTATACCGGTCCTAAAGCAGCTCCCTGGTGTAGGGTTATGTCTCTGGCTCAACATTCAAGAGGCCCCGGGTTCGAATCCGGAGTGTTCCAATTTATTTTGTTCTTAAAATACTTTTTTTTCACTAAATGATAGTATTCAGCATCATGTGATGAGAAACAGATATGACGTCTGGCGTGTACAAACTCATAAAATCATCATAACAGTGTGATAAATATTCTTTATAAAGAGAATCTACTATACACATAATAAAGATAATAAGGAATCAAATTTTTATATCCATATTGGCATTTTTTGCTTCAATATACATATATACATTAAATAAATAAATTCTTCATTCAGTAAAGGGGAATTCGACCCCCCCCCCAACCCACCCACCCCCATCCTCCTGAACTGCGCATGGTTTTCACTTTTTTCTTAAGCGGGGAACACAAATTCTCAGAATTAGCTTGTTTTATTTCGATTTACAATGAAATTGCGTGTTTAATTGTTGACGGGCACTTCTTCACCGATTGATTAGAAAAAAAAATGCATCTGCAAGTCGTCATAAAGGTGAGAATTCTCGGGAAATATTCTGGAAGATTTCTATACGCATTAAGTATTTCTCAATGTAGTTTGGCAACATATAGCAATTTCTATGGTTTCTGATTTTATTTAATTTATCTGATTGATTAAAGGGCATTTTAATGCAGAGTATTGAATAGAACTAAATAGCTATTAAGAAACCATCTAGATGAATGTTTTATTTTCCCTCTTCTTTAACCAGATCATATATGTACAACTTCTTAAGGAGTTTATTTGTTTAACCCGGAAGATGAAAGTTTTTATTTAAAATATTTTTTTGTTCAATTTTTGAGTACATGAAACGTTTTATCTGATAAACTTCGCGAAGTTACTCCAATATCAGTAAACACATTTGTTGAACCCGGAATATATATATTTTTAAAATTATGTTTAAGTTTTGCGAGTATAAAACGTTTTATGTGATTTACTTCGAGAAAGTTCTCCATTATCAGCATACACATAGAGATAAATAATACATTTTCCCATAGGCCTAACTGAAATACCTTTACAAATATAGGTTCCTCTTGCACTAGAGCAAATTTAAGCAACTCATCAGTACAGCTAGATCACAGTGGCTTAGGTTCTACATTTAAATCGTATTCTTATGATAAAAAAGTTAAAAAAACGATTTATATTTACAATATATATGAGCAACTACTGTAAACATGTATAAATGTGTATGATAAAGAACATTACTATTTATTCACCAAGATTTATTTGTACAGTTTTAAAATGACGTCATAATCTATTTCCCGAAGCTCTGTATAGGCAGATGGAAGTATTGAAGTCTTTAATATGGATGCATTGACAATGCTTATTTCAAATTACTTATTTCAATGCAAGAGTAGCAAATTTTTTATAGAAACAACGCAAAGCGTGTATTTTTGTAAATTTATGATACATCTTTGAAAGTGATTGTCCATGTAGTGTTTTTAATGCAGTTCAAAGTCAAAAACTTATACTTTAATAAGTTAATAAGTCATCATTTCAAATATCACCAAGGGTTTTTTAACCTCTGAAAAAAAAGAAGGATAAAGCTTCTTTCCGGATCTCAATATTTAGAAATTTTTAATGCATATGATATTTTCTCTCACGGATGAATCGTAATTTTATTTTATTGAATTGGTTAATTACCAACGTTAATATTTTTCATTAGATACGTTCATAACGTCCAAAGAAATTCAAACAATAGTTCTGGAAAGTTACAATACAATTTCCATTCATAATATGCATGTATTCAAAAAACTTCAAAAAAGCGTTTACATTAAATGTCTCAATGCACTCTTAACTAGACTTGTAGATTTTTCTTAATCAATGCTTTTATGTTTAAAATAATTCTATTATTTACAGAAAGGCTTATTGAGTAAAATAAATTCATATATATTCTTCATAAAAAAGAAAACAAACACATAGTAAAATTTTACTGACACATTGAACATCAAGATTATTTAGTAAAATTATGTACTGATAATACATACATGTACATGTGGTTAACAATAGGAATACTATCTAAATGACAAATCTTGTCAATTCATTTTGTCTAGTGCTTTTCAATTGAGTTCAAATCTGACGATTAAGATGACTATGGAAGAAACAGGTTGCTTTTGCAAGAAAAAGGGAGTGTTAAACGAGCCCTATGTAGATGTTTATTGTCAGTTTGAAATACGGCTCTAGGATGCTTCAAGAATAGGCAGGTAGGTAGAACATTGTTAGAGTACCCTTTTTCCCATAAAAGTCCTTGCAATACGATTAGTCTTACCATAATGTAATACCGTTTCTATATCATTACACTACCACCACCAACGTTTTAACGTCCTGGAGACAGTTTTCTGCCAAACGTTCATTAGTAAGCCCTAGCACTCTGAACCTTATAACAGGCTTTCCAATAATCATTCTGGACTAGTAGTTAATCAAAAATGTTCAGCGGTGATGCTGTTGTCATATTTTATTGATCTGGGATCAGCTGAAAAGTTAGTAATTGCATTAAAAAGTAAATTGTACTCAAATACATCATATTTACCTAAAAAAAAGAAAAACAAAGCAATTTTACATTCTTAAGGGTATTGTTCCTATTTGGGGTTTCTTTTTTTCTGATGAGTATATGAACAGGAAACTTAATAAACACCAATAAATAGAAATAAACACAATTGAAATATTAGATAAATACTGAAACTGGATAATACTAAAACATATAGATTCACTTGCAAAAAGGTAATATACACAATTACGTTAACCTGAAAAAAACCGCTTAAAATATTTCTATTAATGAAATTAAGAAAAAAGACATAGAACACTACTTTAGCTTGTTCATTTAACAGCCAATAGCTAAAGCGTTAAAAACGACAGATATCATTTATAAGAAGAGACAAACTCTGTTATTTCGCGATAAATGGTACCTCTAATCATTTTGTTCACGGTTTTAATTCTTAAGATGTAGGATGTGAAAAAAAATTTTTTTTACGTTCAATAGAGTAAATAATGGTCATATGTAAGATATAAGTAAAGGTATAAATAAACAAGGCTAAATAAACATAACTATTTCACAATTTTCATGAGTATTATTTAAATCTACTTTCTAATTATTCCTTACTTTTTATGTATATTCTTTTATCACTTTAAACTACTCTCTCTCTCTCTCTCTCTCTCTCTCTCTCTCTCTCTCTCTCTCTCTCTCTCTCTAAAATACCAACTGAAATTATGACAGAAATGATAGTGTTCCATAAAAAAAAAAAATAAGATTGAAATCCAAAAAAGTATAACTCTGAAAGTTCTTCTTCAGTTATATATATATATATATATATATATATATATATATATATATATATATATATATATATATATATATATATATATATATATATATATATATATATATATATATACATTCAAAAATGAAAAATGATTTTTCCTTGGTATAGGGATAAAATAAAATCCAAATTCAAATGATAAACTCAAACTTTTATCTAAAGCGCTTTCGCCCCATGCGGGCTCATCAGTAGATTTGAAATTGTAAACAAATTGTAAACAAATTACATTAGGACGTCATTCTCGTGACGTTATGTAGCCAACGTTAAACATTATGATTGTGACGTAATGATAATCACAGTTAAATGAGGCGCACAGATAAAGTTTTACAGTTCATCTGATCAAAGTTAAGCGCCTATTATAAATGTACAATAATGGAGACATTTTATATAAAATGTACATAATAAAATAACTTGATATAAATTCCTTTTAACAATTCAATTTTGGTTTAAACAGATTTATAAAATATTGTTCTTTGGCTTTCCTTAATTGTTCATTTTCCTCTTTTATTTTATAAAAAGGAAATATATAAAAATGTCCTTAACCACAAGAATCAAAGTGTTCACTACATGGCGTGTTTCGTATGGTCGGATCCTTAATCCTTAAGGTTAACATACTTATACTTTCATATAAGCAATTTCAATGTCTTTTTTCCGAAATAAAATTACAAATTGTTAATGTGCTTTATTTCCTCATCAATGTATTGGCGCGGTTCCAAAAAAAAACACGTGCAGGTCGGAACAAACAGCTAGACAGAAGCGGGGCTTTGAGCACGTGGATTGGCGAAATCAAAGCATGTAAATATAAGGAATAACTGTGAGATTTTTCAATTTCATGACGATGATCAATCGATTGGCTTGCGTGATAATTTTATGCATAAGCCCCTTTCGGCGTTTATGTAAATTATCAGTTATCACGCAACCCAATCGATTGATCACATCATGAAATCGAAAAAAATAAGACATTTATTCCTTAAATACATTTGAGTTCCTCATAAAGAGGAGGTTCACTGGATTGTCCAAGTTCTTCATAGTTGGTGTCATCTTCTGTTCTTTCATGAATAGTGGAGCTTGCATTTATTGTTGAATTGGCGTGATTATGATCCCTGTTTAAGGCTGGTCTATTATTATTTCTGATATTTCTGTAAAATTTAATTACGAGAGTTGTCACAAAATGTCGTGGACAGGGAAAACAGTTTAATTTCTCTTTGCTCAACTAAATTTCTTTTTTATCATGGCAAAAAGTAACATATATGATTATTTATTTCTAGTTTCATGACGATACCGCATTTGATAAGAAAACTATGAAAAACAAAGAGACCATGTAAGTGTACATCGGCGCAAGAAAATGCAGAGAATACACATTGTTTGATGATGTTCATGGCCCAGAACGTTGCCAACTGTCCGCGTTTAACATGCAGTATTCTACTTCTTACATGCAGGAACTACCGATATTTTTTTTAATATAAAGGGAAAAAAGCATTGTTGAATCTCCTGTCATTTAAAAACAACTTTTCTATTAAAATCAAGTGTGTAATGTCCTTTTTGTACTATTAAATACCAAAACAATTGATTACAAAATTTGGTTAGTAATTGTTGCGTGTTAAAAAAGTTATAAATATTGTCTACGACTTTTTCGTACAACTCTCACATAAGACATAGTATGATTAGATTGTTTTTTTTTAAATAAAAATGATGCAATTATTTGATTATATTCCATTTACGATTAAGTTTATTTTTATACTTACATCAATAGATACAAACCTCACAATCAAAAATATATTGAGAATAACGCTCATGATTAGAACAGTAATTACACCGTACAAAACTGGATAAACTTCTGTGTTTGTAATGCTTGCAGACGTCTGGTTGATTGCTTCAATTCAAAAAAGTTTTTATTGCTAAATCATTACATAGAGCAATCTTTATTTTATTAAAAAATATAGAAATTAATACATGTATACATTTATGTTCTTTTGGAAATAAACTTGGTTGGTACCGAGATCAAACCCGTTTTTGTATTAATTAGTGTACTCAAGATACTCAATTAGTATTTTATATCCTTTTTAAAGTTTTGTACTTCATGTTTCAAACTTTAAACGTATTGTTTTTATATCATTATTTATTTTTCAAAAAGTTCCAGAAAATATATATCAGTATATTTCACTTTAGGCTGAGAGGTTGTGAAATTTATAAATATTTAAATCAAATTGATCATAAATGATATATTCCTAAAATAAGACTGATACTATACAAAAATATTACCTGGACTAGTTTTGTCATTATTAACATTGCTATCGAAGACATCTTTACACGACCCATTGTTTGAGAAACACGTTCCATTTAAACAGGTTGGACTACATTGCTTTTCACATTCTTGTCCATGATGTGTTTGACTACATTCTGTGTTAAAGAAAACGATGCAAATTAGTCGGTCATTTAGAGATTTGGCTGGACTTTCATTGTCAAAATAACAACTTTCCTAAAAGCACATTTAATCTTATCATATCAAGATTTACCGTTACAGTTTTGACCTTGCCAGCCTTCTTTGCAAAAACAATTCCCATCGAGTTGGTTACACCCAGAAATACACCCAGCACCACAAGTCTTGAGACAGTCGGCTCCAAATTTCCCGTCAATGCATCCAGAAGTACATAAACCATCGATTTTACGGCATCCATTTTTGCAGGTTCGATTGCAGGTGAAATTGCAATGATGACCATACATACCATTTGGACAGGGACCCTCGCATTGCCCGGATTTTCTGTTGCAAGCCGATGGACACGACGCACTACATCTCTTCTCACATTTTTCTGAATAAAATCCATTCTTACATCCATAGGTGCAGGATCCAGTAGCATTGTCACACGTTTGTCTTTTACAATTTACACCACACACCTGAGTACAATCAAGCCCGTAATGATGTGAATCACATTCTGTGAATGATAATGATTCGTACTTTATCTTGACTTTTTTTCTTTGCTTTTAAAGAACTTTATTCGGTATAACCAATATTTGCCCCCCAAATCAAACTTTGATAGAGATATATTTAATTAAGTTCTTAAACAGGGCAGTATATTCTAACTTCAAAACACTAAATATTTTCACAAGTAATGACGTCATATGTACGTAATGACGTCACAAAAATGACGTAAATTGAATTCTTTAAATGAATTGTACATAAAAATGTACATACTTCATCGATATTTTGGGTAAAAGTCACCGAGCACATTTGTGTTCAGGATCAATATTTTGATATAATGTGTAGAATGATAATATCATTGAAATATGTCAATATTGTTTCTGAACAAACTTGCGCTCTATAAATTTTAAAGCTAAGACTGTTGAAATTTTGTCCTTTTAAACAGGTTGGACTACATTGCTTGTCACATTCTTGTCCATTATGTGTTTGACTACATTCTGTGTCAAAGAAAACGATGCAAATTAGTCGGTCATTAAGAGATTTGGCTGGACTTTCATTGTCAAAAAAACAACTTTCCTAAAAGCTCATTTAATTTTATTTAGAAATGTTTTGAAGATGTTTAAGTTTCATATCAAGATTTACCGTTACAGTTTTGACCTTGCCAGCCTTCTTTGCAAAAACAATTCCCATCGAGTTGGTTACACCCAGAAATACACCCAGCACCACAAGTCTTGAGACAGTCGGCTCCAAATTTCCCGTCAATGCATCCAGAAGTACATAAACCATCGATTTTACGGCATCCATTTTTGCAGGTTCGATTGCAGGTGAAATTGCAATGATGACCATACATACCATTTGGACAGGGACCCTCGCATTGCCCGGATTTCCTGTTGCAAGCCGATGGACACGACGCACTACATCTCTTCTCACATTTTTCTGAATAAAATCCATTCTTACATCCATAGGTGCAGGATCCAGTAGCATTGTCACACGTTTGTCTTTTACAATTTACACCACACACCTGGGTACAATCAAGCCCGTAATGATGTGAATCACATTCTGTGAATGATAATGATTCGTACTTTATCTTGATTTTTTTTCTTTGCTTTCAAAGAACTATGTTCGCTTATAAACAATATTTGCCCCCCAAATCAAACTTTGATGGAGATATATTTAATTACGTTCTTAATTAGAGGAATATATGCTGACTTCAAAGCACTTAATATTTTCACAAGTAATGACGTCATTTGTACGTAATGA